CTTTGGTAGCCCTTGCAGTGCAGGTAGGCATCATCCCACCTTGCTGTGCCTCCAGCCTGCACGCGCTCCTGTGCTCCTTGGGAAAGCCAACAAAGGTGATGCATCTCCTGTCACGTTCTGGTGTGGGACTGGTGGTTCTTCCTCTGAGGTTTCCTGAATTGACCAAATTCTCTTTTCTGAACCTTGTGCCATGGCAGCGACCTCTGTCAGGCAGAGGGTTGACTGTGACTCCACCATGGAGCTGTGGTGTATATGAGAGTGCCATACACGTCTGTGCCCTTACAAGCAGAAGCTGAACAGGTAGGATAGAAACCAAACTCCTGGCTGCTGTGTTTCACCTGGCTGCCACAAAACCCTCAGCATGGTGTTTGGGAACCACTGAGAGCGAGACATACAGTGTCTTTGCTCTTTGCATCCCTCTGGTCTTGAGGGAGCTCTGTGCTCTTGTGTCCCAACAGCTCCCAGCTGTTTTGGCTTGCTCTGACCAGCTAGTATAGAGCCTCTGAAAAAGCTCCCGGTTCCAAGGCTGCTGGAGGGGAAGAGGCAAATTAAGGACAAAACACTTCTAATTATTAATTTTTTTGCAAGTGGCACAGTTACTGGGAACTGAAAAGCAGAGATTCAGCAAAAGCTTGTGATAAGCACCACTAAAACCACCCGATGTTTTCCCATTAACCATATTTCCCATCCCATTAAGCAGCAGCCGCTGCTCTTAAGTTGTCAGTGGGCTTAAATCTGCTTCTGGCAGATGTCCTAACTACATGCTTCACAGGTCCTCTGCATGAGCTGTATTGTAGAGACAAAGCCCAGGGCCCTACAAGGACATGGCATCTTGTAGAAGGATTTTCAGACGGCGTTCAGGAGAATAGCATCATTTCATCTGATTCCAGCTTCTTCAGCCCGTCCCAATTTGGAAGCAGGAAGATTGGATCAGAGGCTGTAAATCTCTTGACGGCAGAGGAAAAGTGGTTGCCCTTCTTTTCTTCTAAAGTGCTTTCAGTCAGTCCAGTAATGGGACTTGGCAGGGATCTGTGAGTTCGTTTCTGACCTTGTGTGGTCTTCCTTTGTGCGGGGCTCTCCTGGCCCACAGGAGACAGCTGCACTGCTCCCCGAAGGCTGGAGTTCCTCTGCACGCAGCTGCTTTCCTCCTTCCTGCTGCCTTCCCCTGGTGCTGCAGAGGAGAGGAATGGGCACATTCATCTAAGAGTTGAGCTGAAGCTCTTGTTTCTACCTGTGTGACACCACTTCTTGGCTACCCTGATTCCTTGGGCTTTTGCTGCTGTGGTGGCTGTCAGCCTGTCCTGTTTTGTCTGACCCTGCCTGGATGTACCCACATTGTGCTGCTGTGCTGGTAGGGGACATGCTGAGGAAGAAGCTATTGTGAAGGACCATATGGGTAAGTGAGACTGAGGACAGTTTTCCACATGACCTCTGGAACACAATCGCCTTAGGGTAAGGCAGATGGCATCAGAGGGATGCTGCCCTGGAAAGCTTTGGAGCAGCTCCCACAGAGCTCTTGGAAGCAATGTAGGTTTGGGTTTCTTGAAAGAAATAGACTGGAAGTGCTCAGTGTCTAATGAATCCAGCTAAAGGTGTCTTGAACTGGCCATCAAGGTGCATACCTGCAGGACTTATGTGTTGAACCATGAAGATGAAAATCCCTGACTCAAGCTCCACTGTTGTATGCACCTCACTTGGCTTCACTGCCTCACTGTTCCAGCCAGGGAAATGGGAAACCTGGATTTGGCCTCTGACTCTGCTGCTGGCTGTGTGATCTTGAGATGAGACATTTAATCTCTTCTTTTCCCTTGTCAGTTAAGCTGGAAACATCCAGACCAACTTGACAGTGGACTGTGGGGATTAATGAGTGTGTTTGCTCAGTGCTCTAGAAATCTAAAGCATGAAATTAGTGTTTACAAGGCATTTGCTGCAGCTTAGTGAAGCAAAGAGCATCTTTCAGTGTCCCAAACTCTACAGCCTCCCTGGAGCTCAGGGGAGGATCTTGGCATTCAGGGGTAAGAGGAATAAAAAGAGCATGGCACATGCCTTTTGAGTGCTGGGAGAGATGGAAGCTTGAGGGAAACAGGAGATGAGAGCTGTTTTAGAAGCACTGTTTTGTGTCCCTAGAGCTGTGGGTTTGATTACAGGCAGGATCACAAATCTTGTTTGTTCCTTCCCATGTACTGCCTGCGTTTCCCTGACAAGACCTGGAAAGCTGAATGGCTTATTATGCGGCACTGCCGTTGAAGTGCTCATGATTTATATTTGAGGAATCCAGGAATTTGCTCTGGTTTGAGCTGTACGGCACACCCTTCCCCCTTCCCTGGGTCTGCTGTGCTCCCTGGCAGCTGCCCTAAACCCCAGAGTGTTTAGTGGCTCTGCATGTACCTAATTAGGTAAGTGCTTGGGATGTTATTTGCATAGAAATATTACTCCAGGATATGGTACAACGCTGGGGTTTGCTGAGTCAAGACAGTTGTTCAACTGGGATAGCCAGAGTCTTCCCTGTTCCTACATCCGATCCCTTGGACTGGTGTGTTGTCAGGAGAGGAGCCTAAGCATGACTGGATGAAAGACTGCTGAGATCAGGGCAAGGAAATACTGTGACATGCAGCCACATGTCACAGAACTGTGAGATGGCAAGTTCTGGGCTCTCTGCAGAGGAGGCAGTTTATAGAGAGGGCAGGGATGTGGCTGGGGTGATTTTCCCCTGTGCCTGAGAGCTCACACTCCTCGGACATCAGTACAGGGCACGTGACCAAGCGGCATATGGGAGTGTGTTCATGTCAGGAGCGATGGAGGTCAGCGTGCTCCTGCTTGGCTTGTTCAGAGAGGGAGCTGGAAAATGCAGTGAAGAGGAACTGAATAAATTGATCCCTGGGGCCTTGTACTGATGGACTTCAATATCTTGAGTAAAGCTGAGAGCCTGCAATCCTACATTAGTGGAAAAAACTCTTCTATTCCCTTGCTGCTTGGTAGCCCCTTGTTACCTCTTGAGCTTCACGTCCCCTCTGCTGGCGTCTGCTTTCCCTGATGGATTTGCCTTGGCTTACTTAAACAGCTTTGGGCCAGAGTGGAATGGTCATGACGTTTTGTCTGTCAGAAAATATTCTCCCAGCCCAGGCCACCAAAGAGTCTTTGAGCTTCCAGCTACACCACTCCCATATCCTGAAAGTTAGGGCATTCAAAATGAAGGTCATGAGTGTTTAGAGGGTAGTTGATGTATAACTTTTCTGTCATTGCTTCTCCTGTGTTTCAAGCTGGTATTTTCTTTAAAAGGAAAAAAAATTATAGCAAGGTTAAAGGAATTCTCTAGACAAAAAAAAAGTAAACCAAACAAAAACTTAGGGAACAAACATCTCCCAGTGGAGGCTAGTCATAAGTACAAAAAAGGCAGTAGTTTTCACATCAAAGCAAAGGCTGCAGCTGGAGCCTTTTCTCACCAGCGTGTAGAGAAGGAAAAGTTGTGGTATTTTGAACAGGCTGAGTCTGTAGGTGTATTCACATAAGCTTGCAGAAAGGTGACAGGGCTGAACATTCAGCCCATCTGCGTAGTCTGCTGCATTTGCTCCTGCAGCAGCGAGCGGCTGCAGCTTCGTTTGTCTGTGAGGGAGCTGCACCAGCAGCCTCTTGCTTTTGAACGGAGGAAGTGTGATTTTATGGTGGCTCAGGCAGCTGGGAAAATCTTCCTGAGCTCATCCCAGACTTCCTCTGCAGACTGAGAAAGGTGCACTAGGGGCTTTGAGAAGGGACTGGTTGCCCTATGATGCAGCACCGGGGCAGGTTAGGTCCATGTTACAGAAAAGGCAATAAAATCCAATGGGGGATGGGGGAAGGGAAGTTCCTGTAGCCCCTCTCCAGAGGTCCATGGCTGCGGATTCACCATCTTGTCTGATTCCTGCATTCCACCTTCAGAATAGGGGACACACTCCCCACCTCCGATCTGAATTGTCTTTCTGGGTTGGTCTCCTAAGCTTTGGCACCTCTCTGTGGGCCATTGTGGTGGCTTTGCTTGACCCTAAACCTCTCTGGACTGTGTCCTCCTGTGAATCCAGCTTGTAGGCACACCAAACTGCTGCATGAGGGCTTTTTTTCAGTAACAAAGCTGAGATCCTTGGCAGGAAGGGGCTGTAAGCAGTTTGGCGTGATGCTGTTTTCACACATTATACCTACATGCACATGCAAAAGGCATAACTAACTCCTTGTATTTCTCTCCCTCTCCTGAAAGCCTGCAGACTGCTTTAACTCTGCCCTCTGCTCCTTTGGTGATGGCAGCTAATCGGTCCCTGTGGCCAGACTGACTTGATCTCCCAAGGAATCCAGGAGAACAAGTGAAATGCCTCAATGTGCCTGGGTTGGGAACTGCTGGGGTTCCCTGTGTGCCCTGAGTGCCTTGCATTCAGCTCTGAAGGCTGCAGCCAAGGGTGGTTTGCTCTGCACTGTGAATGTTGGGGGAAAGCAAGGACAGAAGTGCAGTTTAAGGTCTGTGTCACCCCAAATTTTGGGATTACCTCAAATCCCTTCAGGTGGTGCAGGGAGGTTTGTCTAAGGACTCTCGTAGGAGGGAGAGATGTAGTGCAAGTGGCTCTT